GAGCCCGGTATTTTTAGGAGGCCAATCTCAGCTAATATATATATATATATATATATATATATATATATATATATATATATATATATATATATATATATATATATATGTATATATATAAGTGTATATATAAATATATATATATATAATATATGTATAATGGATTTATACACCCAGGATGATACTTTTCATTAACAAGAAAAACTGTGTCATGTCAGTCTGGACATACAACAAAACAAAATAATCGAATTACAAAAGAGATAGAAAAACAATGTCAGCATTGTAACAAAATAATAAAATGCTCAGGAAATTCTACAACTACCCTAAAAAATAACCTTATTAAAAAAACATTTAAAAGTCATAGAATTTGTTTAGATAAGACAACAGTATCAATCATATTAACAGATGAGAGGTCAAGTGAGAAGACAAAAAATAATGAGAGAGCAAGTGAAACAACAAGTGAAAAAAAAGCAGATGAGAGAGCAAGTGAGAAGACAAAAAAAAATGGCAAAAGACAAATCTTTGTGCAAATGAATCTTTTAAATAAATGATTTACTGATTTTGTTACGGTTGGCATTTCAATTTGAGCCATAACCAAAAATTAAAACATTCGCCAGTCAGATGCATTTAAGATTAATTTAAATAACTTATTTATGCTTGAAATGTATTTAAACTCCCCTCTAACGAAAGCGACGTAATGAAACTTCTGTACAAAGATTTTGATGAAAAGTAAAAAAATAAAGATTGACATCATAAAATTAAGGGTAGACAATAAACAAAAGTTTAGCATGACTATCGATGAAGTTACTACTTTACAAGTACGAAGATATTTAGTTAATAAAACATTCTGAGCACATTGCAATGTGCTCAGTATGGTTGAAAATTATAAAACAACATCTAAGTGTTTTTGGAATATCTATAAAAAAAATTCATTATAATATATATATATATATATATATATATATATATATATATATATATATATATATATATATATATATATATATATATATATATATATATATATATATATATATATATATATATGTATGTATGTATATATATATATATATATATATATATATATATATATATATATATATATATATATATATATATATATATATATGCAGAATCTTTTATAGAATACTACATTTAAAGTTTAGCGCCATCAAGATTCTATTTCCAAAACTAGGAAGGATTAGAAAGATACAAAATTTAAAATAATTCATTTTTAGTCTTTAAATTTAAAACAAAATAGAAAATTTGAAATTTGAAAAAAGTCGAAGATTTAAAAGTAAACAAAGAGTTGATAAGAAAAAGTTGTGCTTTTAAGTTTTATTATTTTAAGTTTTTTGTTCTTAATTTTTTGGACGCATTAAGTGGTTTTCAGTAAATGCAAACTGCAAGCGAATAAAATGGGTATTTATTTGCAAACTTTTATATATTAATTAGGAAAAGCAGAGTTATATATACATAGATACATTTTGGATTTTGGTATTTATCATGATTATAGTATAAATAACAGCTAGTAAGCTATTACATCATCAACTACCAATAAGACCATGATTTGCAAAAATGTTTGCATTTTACTAACTCACTTAAACCTTTATTGAATAATCTAATTAGTCACAAACATATGTATATTTATAAAGTTCAAAAGCAAAGTATATATTCATAAAATTATTAGGCCATAAAAGCAGTGAAGTATAAATTGAGATAAGTCTACATACAGCTTGAGCAGGTCTAACAACATTTACAATACATTCTTTGAACCTTGTCTAAAAAATAGAGCTTCATTAGAAGAATAAGCCTAAATATTACACCAGTATTCCATACAAAGAAGAAGAAAAGATTTATAGAGGTAGAAAATGATTTATAGAAGTAGAAAATGATTTATAGAGGTAGAAAATGAAATCAGGAGTAAAAAATAACACAATAAAAAGCAACCTTAGCAGTTACTAACTTAGCAACGAAATAAAATGATGTATTTATTTTTTCCATAAAAAGTCAGTAGTGAAAGATAATCTAGAAAAGAAAGGCAGAGGACTCAGTAGGTCTTCTCAGAGGACTCAGTAGGTCATCTCAGAGGACTCAGTAGGTCATCTCAGAGGACTCAGTAGGTCTTCTCAGAGGACTCAGTAGGTCATCTCAGAGGACTCAGTAGGTCATCTCAGAGGACTCAGTAGGTCTTCTCAGAGGACTCAGTAGGTCATCTCAGAGGACTCAGTAGGTCTTCTCAGAGGACTCAGTAGGTCATCTCAGAGGACTCAGTAGGTCTTCTCAGAGGACTCAGTAGGTCTTCTCAGAGGATTCAGTAATATATCTCTGGAGAACAAGAGTTTTTCAGAGAGTTGAGAGATAATTACTATTAGAAATAGCAAGTACACAAGAAAAAAAATAGACTTTATATTGAAGAGACAAAAAGAAATAAAAACTTCCATGTCTCCCTGAATCTATGAGATTGGAAAATGAGGTACAATTTTTAGCAGAGAGATTTAAGACTAGTGCTTCTAATACCAGCGGTATCGAAACCAGATTACCAGTATTACCTGATTTTTTTAAGTACCGAAATACCGGTTTTGGTTTGGCTAAATACCGATATTAAAAATATATGTAGAGGGCTTGTGATATAGCGGACTATATCACAAAGTAGTTGATGGCTTTTTGTACAAAATGTTCAAGACATTTTGTACAAAAAGCCATCAACTACTTTGTGATATAGTCTTTATAGATGGCTTTTTGTACAAAATGTTCAAGACATTTTGTACAAAAAGCCATCAACTTCTGCAAAAAAAAAAAAAAAAAAAAAACTTGAAAGTAATCTGCCATTACAACAATAAGAGTGAAAGTGACGAGGGTAGAAATACTGACGATGACACAAACAAAACCAATGATGGTGAAGACTTTTTCAGTAAGTTTCAAGTTGTAATTAGTGAAAAGAATATTTCTATTGAAATGACTGGTGATTTGCAGACGTTAACTAATAAGGTGCGCACTGTTTTAAAATCATTTCACCATTTTTCAACAAAAAATAATCAAAAAATGATCAAACACTTCGAAAATACGCATTAGACAAATTTGGGAAAGGCCTTCAACTAATACTCGACTCCAAAACTCGCTAGAGTAGCTTGCACACAATACTTAAACATTTCGTAAAATTGAAAAATTCCATTTGCAAGTCACTAATTGACTTTGAGTCCAAAGTTGAGGTAACTGGATAAGGAGTTTGATGCAATTTTAGCTATTGTTTTATGTCTTGCACCAGTAATATTGGCTGTAAAATTTTGGACCAAAATGATGCAACACTGTTGTCAGCTGATACAACACCAATCTTCATGATCAATAACCTTAAAGAAACTAATTTAGGTGTAAAATTGAAAGCTATGTTGGTGTGACGATTCAATAAGCAATGTACATCTTTTTCACCTTACTACAATATCTGAAAAAGGGACTTCAACGTTAGGAGAATTCGAATCCAGTGCTATCATTTGAGCACCTTAGTAAACCATTTTAAATGTCATTTATAAATATATATATATATATATATATATATATATATATTATATATATATATATATATATATATATATATATATATATATATATATATATAAGATTTCGGGTTACAAGTGAGCTCATGTACTATTCAAAATCGATTAAAAGAAAATATATAATATATATATATATATATATAATATATATATATATATATATATATATATATATATATATATATATATATATATATATATATATATATATATATCTAATATATATAATATATATATATATATATATATATATATATATATATATATATATATATATATATATATATATATATATATATATATATATATATATATATATATATATATATATATATATATAGACATAAGAAATCTATTTTTTATGACTAGGGTAGAACGCATGTTTAAATTTTGCACAAATTCCAGATTCTTAATTCAAAAATTTTAAAAAAACTTTTTGAATTAAGAATCTGGAATCACCTTAATATTCAGAAAACCACAAAATTTTCCAAAGAGTATTCAAAAAGTTCAGCAGCAGCGTACGAGTTGGCTAAAGTTTTGTGTGGTCTTATTTTCCACCTTTACTTTACAGTTTCGTCATCAACAAAAAAAAGAATGAAGTATATATATATATATGTTTACATTGAATATGACAATAATGGAATTCCATCTAAAGTTAATGTAAAAAAGTCACTTATAGGATTTCAACAAACAACCTCTTGAGATGCTACAGCTATTCAAAATATATTTAATAAAAATATAAAATATATAAATATATATACTAAATATATTAATATATATTTAGTAAAAAGGCAAATTTCCACTGATAAATTGATCGGACAAAGATGATAGCACTGCTGTATGAAGATGCTAGTTATTTCATGATGGTGTTCAAAAGAAAATAAGAGAGCCAAATTTTAACTATATTTATCTAACACTGAAGTTTTGGTTATTTTACAACTTGTTGAATATTATTTTTAAGTTAAATATAAAATGAATTTAACACAGTAAGTTTACTTCTTCGAAAAAAGCTGTTTCTTTGCTGAAAAAATGCATGAACGCAATTTAAAAATGCATGAAAACACAAAAAGTGTTTTACTGAATGTAAAGAACAGATTTTTAATGACAACATTTATAAAAAAAAGTTTAGATTTAAAGTACAGTGCTAGGAATCTAATTTTATAAATTTTTGCTTTGGGGCCTCAAAACTGAAATTACACCTCTGTGCAACATATATATAAATCAAGGTGTAACTTAGCTATAGATTAACATTTATTTTACCTTGTGTGTAATTAGGTCTGCAATGTACTTAAAATCAAAATACAAAGCTAAATATATTCATTTTTAAATTTCATTTCTATTCAAAATTTCCAGTAAACAAAAAATATTGAATATCAGTTCTAAAATCAGTTTATTAAATATCAGTTTAGAAATTAATAAGCTTTAATTAAAAAAGTAAAACTAATCTACCTCATTATTGACTTTTTCCAGTCTAATAAACTCATTGTCAATTAAAAACTTCATTGTATCACTAATTGATTGATCAGGATCTTTATCACTTATTGCTGAAAGACACACATGTAAATATGTGGACTGAGCATACAATTGAACATGTTCTGGTTGACTTGCTACTCCTGCAGCAATTACTTCAAGTAAGGCTCGCTTTAAAGTCTTTGAATTACCTTCTCCATCTATTATAAAAAAGTGTTTCTAAAACTAAATCCAATTAATATTCTTTAAATTATTTTTTTTTCATTTTTATTTCTAATCATTTTAATATGAAGCATTTTTTATGCTAAAATGAAAAATCATTTAGTAACTTACGTAGCAAACAACTATATACAGGGACAAGGTCTGAAGTCAAGAGCGATAGGCCTTTTTGCTTTTCAGTTGGTTTACATATTAAAATACTTTCACCTTCTGAGTCAACATTTTTACGACCTGCACGACCTGCCATTTGTTTGTAAACCATAGGCTCTAACAGTTGACCATGAAAAATAGGTGATCGAATAATGACTCTACGTGCTGGAAGATTTACACCTAAACAGAAATAAGTTTAAAAATTAGCCTACTTTATTATCAAATACTCAAGTATAGAAATGTTTTTGAAAATCTTTTGTTATAGATGATAGTATTTTCTTAGTTTCTTTATTTTAAAACAAGACTTTAACATTTAAATAATAATTTGTGCTTTTGGTGTTGTTGATTTTACAACTGTTTTAGGCAATATAGATTTTTATACTATTAACTAAAAAAACACTAAAGCAAGTATTTAAAAAGATTTCTAGCCAGCTATTCTAAATCAACACCAGTAATTGTTTGATTAGCAAATAAATATTGGAAGAGAACTTATCATAGAAATATCGAAAACAAATTTTGATTATCAAAGAAATATTGAAAATAAAGTTTGAATAGTAAAGAAATATTGGAAGCAAAAGATTAGCAAAGAAAGATTGAAAGCAAAGTTTGTTAAGCAAAGAAAAGTTCGATTACCATTGAAATATTTTTTAGCTTTTTTGATTTCCTGACATTGAAAAGATTGTTCATATAATACAATGTTTGCATAAAATGTAATTAACATAGGTGTTCTAGCAAAGATCGCGCAATCAACAAACTCATCCATTATGTTATTTAGTAACTCAACTTGATTCTCTGGAATATAAACTTGACTTATAAGATTTGTACTTTAAATCTATAATTAGCAAAAAGAAAAAAATAAAGAAAAAACACAGCAACTATGTTGTTTTTTTTACTTTCTTCCTTTTTTTTTTTAACTTTACACTCATTAAAAATGTGAATTCATTTTAAAAAGATTAACATCAGAATATAAGGAAACTATTACATCTTAATGATTTAATTAACTTATTATAGCAAAATCTCTAAATTTAGATGCAACTAGAGAAAAATTTTTTATTTAAAATTGGGTAGGAAATTGTAATTTAAAAATAATCATTACATTTTATTGTTTTAGTACAGCTCAGATTTGACAAATTTAACTTTTATATTGTTTATAAAAATAATTATTTTTATGTAAAATCTTTATTTTTTCTGTAATAAATTTTCAATTAAACATTTTTTATGAGTTAATACTTTTTTGTTTTTTTTCAACATTTTAAAGTAACGTGATAGGAACCTTAAGTTTGCCTTGGGGTCTCAAAACCAAAATTATGCCTCTGTGCAACATATATATAAATCAAGGTGTAACTTAGCTGCAGATTAAAATTCACTTTACCTAATGTGTAATTAGGTCTGCAAAGTACTCAAAATCAAAATACAAAGCTAGAAATATTTTTTTTTAAATATGATTTCTATTCAAAAAAATAGAAATGGTATTTAATGAAGTTGTATGTATAATAATTTATGTTAATTAAATATGTTGTATGTTTAGTAACTTATTTTAATTAAATATGTTGTATGTATAGTAATTTATGTAAATTAAATATGTTGTATGCATAATAATCTATACAAATTAAATATGCTGTATGTATTGTAATTTATGTGAACTAATTAAGTTATTTATGCGTTTCTAATGTGTAAAAATTCATCATTCTTATCTTTAGCTGAAATACTAAGTTTCTTCTTTTTTTTCTTGTTGCAATAATCTTTATAGTAAATTTTTTAAAATTTGCAAATATTTTAAAGTGGCTGAAACACAAGTGAAAATTTTGATGAGACATTACCTGTTGACAATTGAGGTTTTATTTCATTTTCTATTTTAAAAATTTTAGGCGTATTCTGTTTCTTCTTCTAGCTTTTTTAATTTTAGAAACATCTGTGAAATACTTGCAACATCTCAGATGGTATACTAAATGAGAGTTTTCAACTAAACTTGCAGGTCAATTTACAAAGTTATGTGTTATACCCATTAGCCTCTGAATAATGACTTTTTCGGCACTTATCAAAATCTATTTGTTTCATGATAAAATAAATTAAGTAAAATCTCATAACAGTTAAAATTCACAATTCCAAAAATGAATTAGACAGAAGAGCTTAAAAGATTTGGTTGCTCACATAATTTTATACTGTTTTAATTATCAAGAAGACAAGTAGTTTGCCACATACATTCATTTGCAAAAAACTATACAAAAAAAATTGTATTTTTATCAAAAATTTTAAACAAAATGAAACGATAGTTGTGTAAATCATTTTTGTTGGGGGGTTTTAACACTTATTCCTTAAAAACTGCAGAATATAAATCTCTGAAACTTTTTTGATAATATTATTACTTAACATAAGCTATTATTTCTAAATAATTTACTTGGTTCTATAAGGGAGGTTACAGAATGTTGTTATTGTCATGATGGGATTGCGGTTTATGAATATGAATAATGTACTTGGTTCTAAGAGGGCGATTATAGACTTATACAGGATCGGTGTCTATGAATAATAAAATTATTATTTTTTAAATATTAAAAAAATATAAAATTATACTCAACTCGAACGAAATCAAATTTTAAATTTTTTTTTCTTTGAACACATAAAATCGAATTTTGGTTGATGGAACAAGTGTTGTTTAAGCAACAATGATGGTAGCAACAACAATGGTAGCAACAATGATGGTAGCAACAACGATGGTAGCATTTATAGAAAAGTGAAAAAGATGCTTTACAATGATGAGACAAAAGTTCAAGCTCAGCAGATCCAACAACATTTTCAATGGATTGATTGACCTAGAAGAATGAGCCCAAATATGACAAGAGTATTACATACAAGGAAGAATAAAAAACAATGAAGTTAGAAGTAACAAAATGTTAAGCACAATATAGAGAGGAAAAAAATAATTTTGCAATTAGTTGGGTATAATGGTCTCCATGAGATAATATAAAGTTAAGGACTACATAAAAGTGTTGTCATTGAAAGACCAATATGCATACAGAATTTAACTGAAAGACAAATTTAGGCTAAATGTGTACCCTGCAATTTAACTGAAAGAATTTTGACTTTTAAACCAAATTAACTGAAAGCCAAATTTGGAATTTAATAATACATTCAATTGGAAGTAATCTAAATCTAGATCTAGAAAAAAAGATCTAGGGTTCAAATCAGACCTCGATTTGAACACTGGATTTCTTGCTTCTAAATCAAGTACTCTAACCACTGCGCCACAGCGTCTGTATCATTTTTTATTAACTAAAACTATTTTTTTTTTTAGCTTGTTAGTAACCATATCTCAAAACATGACAAAACAAACTAAGTGAAACAAATTAATTTTCAATTTCTTTAAAAAATATACACTCACAAAAAACAACAATTTGGGTAGAAAAAAATCTTAAAATACAGTAATAATGAGAATTTAAGTTATGAAATCTTTCAAACTTTTAATGTTTTTGAACAAACATGAACAAAAGACCATTAACAACACTCATTGAAAAATTTCAAATGTCAATTTTCTAAAGAAAAAATATGGTGAAGAATATCATGTTAAATATTCACCTTTTTTTCTATATTTATTGAAAGCGATAAGATTCAATAAGTGATATATAACTAGACACTAATTTGAAAGCGATAAGATTCAATAAGTGATATATAACTAGAATAATAAATAGACACAAATAAGATCAGCAACATGTTCTAAACAATCAATTTGTCAAGACAGGAACATATGGTTGAGTCATTAGCTAATAGAACCACTTAATAGGTAAGATTATTAGGGATATAATATAGATGAAGAACAACACAGGACCAAGGATAAAACCTTATAGTACCCCAGAAGCTACTGGAAATATAGATAATTGATGTCCATCTAATGAAAATTATAATACTCTGGTTTTAAAGAAATGTTTTTATAATTATAAAAACACTGCCAGATACACAATATAAAGCCAGCTTATGGAGAAGACCAGCATACCAGATTTTATTGAAAGTCTTTGATTTGTCAAAAACAATAGCTTTTGCCTCATCACTTCCATCTAATACATGACTTTTTGTCATAACAGTTAACATTAGGCTGAGATGATCAAAATCCATATTTACTTTCAGAAACATTACTAATAGACGGTAAAAAGACTGATTGGGCAATAGTAAGAAGGGACTGAGTTTGAAAAAATTGGAAAAGAAGATTCAGATAAACACTTGTTAAATAGCTTGGACAGTAGTTGTGAGAGATGTAAAGAATACTTTTATAAGACTGTGACAAGAATGTTGTCTGGACCACAAGCTGTAGAGAAGTTTAAATGAGAAACAGCTTTTGCAACAGAAGTAAGAGTGATGTCTAACAAAAGTAGGAGTGATGCCTAACAAAAGTAGGAGCAATGTGCAACTGACTTGATACTTGTTTCACAAGTATCAAGTCAGTTATTTTTAATTAAATTTCTGCTAATCAACCTAAAGTTGTAAAAAGGGTTTCTTATCTGAGTTCAACAATTCACACTAAGATAGACACTGCTGATGCACAACATACAATCGTCAAACTAATACAGATTCAAAGCTTTTTATATCTTTGTTATTTTTATTAGCTCTTTATAAAATTTGTTTACTTGTTACTAAATAAGTATGCTAAAATGAAAACAAGAAATGCTATAAAAGGAATGCTATAAGCTTTATCTTTCATTTAATACTAAACATTCTATAACAAACTTAACTTTAACAATGTAAAAAATGTAACAAAATTTATATTAAATATACCTGCTGCGTAGTCTGTTCAAAATTGATAATCTAAAATAATAAATATAATCCATATCCTACATTTTAAGTAAATTTTTGTCTAAAAATGTTTATTGAAAATAAAAGCGCAGAGACCACAACTAGAATTTTTCATAGGTTTTAACTTTTTTTTTTTGAGACTACACCTTCAGTGAAGTTTCATAGAAAAAACCATATAAACTGATCTTTAACATAATCAAGTAAGGAATTCTTTATTTTAAAATGCTGCAGTATGTCATTGAGGATCCCATTAATTTTATTGAATACTTTTTGAAAAAAAAAAAGATTTAAATCTATTAAAAATAATTTCCAATAAGTTGTAAATGTCAAAAAGATTGTAATCCATGTCAACAAGATTGCCACAGTTTAGAAATAAATTTTCCCAGCTTTTTATTGAAAACTTGCTTATTTCCTCCTGGTTTTTCTATTGTTTAAAGATGCTAATTTACCACGAAAACTTCATCATTATTCACAAACAAACTCTTTCCCTATAGAATAGCCCCTTAACAAAAAAGGTTGTAATGAAATAAAAAATTCAAGGCTAAATCTAAACAAAGTCTAATCAATAAAAAACATAAAAGTAATTTAAAAACGAATAAAAAATGAGTAAATAGTGTTAAATTGTTAAATTTTTGAAACAAAGACATTTTTAAATATAAACAATCATTATCAAAGAATTCTAATCAAAAACAAATAAGTATTTCTTATATTTGAAAGGAACTTGCTTTCTCTTTTTATGCATTGTAACAAAACCTCATTAAAATATTTTTTTTTATTTCATTCTCCTCATGCTTTCACTTACAATCATTTCCTTTTATATATGAAGGAGTTTAATTTCCTCGGAAAATATTGGTTTCAATATTTTCCGAGGAAATTAAACTCCTTGGAAAGGCCCTTTATATATTTCACTCTTTTTTCTTTTTCTTTATATTTTCTTGATCTAACACCAGGTTACATGTTGTTTTTTCCCTTTGCTTAAAACATTTAATTTTTTTTTAGATACATTTTATACTTCAACAAGACACTATAAATTGCCATTACTATTTGTGGTTGATTTCTATTTGGTGCGTCACCAATATGTTAGAAACCATAAAATCCTAGATAGTGCAACAAGCTACAAGCAACATTTTTTCACATTAGGTCATGGGAAAACAATAATTTAGTGGAGTCTCAGCATTAATAGAAATATGCCTTGTGTAAAAATAATTTTTTTTTATAAGTCAGGGGTTTCAGTATTAAATGCAAAATATGTTGTAAAAAAATTATTTTTTTACTAGGCATATTATTGTTATTACTGAGGCCACTAAAGTCATACACTAAAACTATTTTTTCACTTGGCATATTATTGTTAACACTGAGGTCTTTCTCAATTAATGCTTTCTAATGACCTAACATAATAAGTATCAAGACTTTAGACTTAATGCTTGATTTTGTCTAAAGTAATATGAGAGTTTTAAAATAAGATGGATCTAAACAATTTCCAACATTAAATTTTTAAAATGCAGATAAAAGAGTAGTTGAACTTTTTACCAAAAAAATTGTGAAAAAGCAAGATCGTTTGTGAAAATTGTGAAAAAGCAAGATCGCATTCATTTAAAAAGGTATGCAAGTAGAAAAGAACCAAATAAAGTACAAACTCTGTTCAAAAAAATTGAATTTTATTTTTAAATAATTGACTCTAAGCTGATGCAATCTGTTACTTCAAGAAAAGAAAATGGTTACAGACTAAAATTTATAACAATATAAATTTTATTTTGGTTAACTCATTGGATTTAGCCTTTTCACTAACTACTATATCAGAAAATATTTTCTGATATAACAGACCATTATTGCTACATAGGTTTAAGGCGAAATTATCCTGTATTGAATATAAAACAGAAAAAATCAGAATAATAAGCTACAAGAACTGCTTGATTGTGCATTAATGTAAACTCTACAGAGTTTATATTTTTGCAAAAATGTAAAGAAGCAAGATATGGGCAATGACTTTTGAAAATGTTTTTTGTTTTTTATGTGAATTGTGACAGTTCACCAATCTATATTTCACAAGTTAATTTGAACTTGGTATGTTTTGAACTTAGCTAATTTTTTATCAGAACTTAATTAATTTTTAAACAATAAATTACTCTACTATTTTGAATTAAGTTGTTATTTTAAATTTTTGTAATAAATTTGTCTATTTTTAAAAAAAGTGAAAAAAAGAAATAGACCACCTAATATAATTTTGTGCGGTTTGTACTATAAATAAATATTATTGTAGTATTATTATTAGTAGCAGCAGTATTAATAGTATTATTATTATTATTGTAGTATTATTATTATTACAACATCAAAACCAAAACCAAAACTTTTATTCTTTAATAAATATTGACCTATCAGAACAGTCTTTACAGCTATATAATTAACTTTTTTTTAAATGTTTTACTTCTTATTTTAACATTAGTATTTGTTGACCTAAAAAATAAAAATATTTATTATAAAACATTTAAAAACATCAAAATTTCATGAGGTGTCACAAGTAGAACATGTTTATCATTTATATTTAAACATATTAACTATTTACACACACAAACACAAAGAAATACATACATAATATATATAACTACCTGATGATAAAGTAGATGTAGCAACAAGAATTCGTAAAACACCTCTTCTAAAAGCACCCTCTAAAATATCTCGTTCATCAATAGTTAAACCAGCATGGTGATAAGCTACTCCTTGTCGAACAACCTTCTCCAACATTTTGTCAAGTCCGACTTGTGTTCGCTGCAGCTGTTCTATGACATCTTCAATCAGAACTTTGCTTATCAATGGAAAACCAGATTTTTTATGATTAGATTCTGATGAAGTTTTGAAAGAAATTCCCATAGGGTTTTGAAGAAAATACTCAGATATTGTTTCTGAAAGTTTCTCGCACCAATTTTTTGTCGGACAAAAAATAAGTACTGAGTTTCCTTCTACTATTGTTTCAACACACAATGGAATAATTCCTTCTTCATCCCCTTTGATGCCTCCATAATTACTAACTATCGACACTTCTTTTCCACTACTGTTTAGTATATGATTCCCAACCTTTATATGTTCTGTTAAAGGAACTGGACGAAAATTAGTAAAGTATAAATCTGCTTTAAGCCACTTTGCAAGCATGTCTAAGTTAGGAAGTGTTGCACTCATGCCTATAATTTGTATTTCAGCATCATTACTTGCTGTTAAAAACTTGATTTTTGTGAGTAACAACTCAAGTAAGTAGCCACGACCAACATCACCTATCATATGCATCTCATCAACCACTACACAGCACAAATCCAAAATTTTCTTGCTCTCCATTAACTTATTTATTAAGGAGTTGGCCTTCTCAATAGTACATACAGCAATATCAACTGTATTTAAACCACCAGCAGTGTTTTCATTTCCCATGAATCCTCCAATTGTAATACCTGAATCTTCAAACTGATCCTAAATTATAAAATTTTTTATGAGAAAAATTTAAATTGCTAATTAAAATAAAAAAATTTAAAAAAATTAAAATTACTGAAAAATTATTAACTACTTGCGTTAATACACATAAAATTTATCACAACTTAAGCACAATATATTTTTTTAATGTAAGTACTTCAATAGCTAAATCTTATAAGTAAACTGCTCTGTGGCATAAATATTTTTTTAGTTTAGTTTGGTTAAATCATGGTTAAAAAAATTTACAAGTTATTGACAAAAAGCGACACTCTGTGATGAAAATAATGTTTTTAGATTTCAGTTAAAGTTAAGATGCTAGAGCAAAGAAAGTTTGTATTTTGAAATTGTTCAAGTTCTTTGAGTCCACTGCATTTTGGGTTATTTTTCAAGATGAAAACAGTAAAATCCAGAAAAAATAAAAAAAACAAAAAATAAAGAGAATAGATTGGAAAACAGAGTACTTTTAGACAAATGTCTGAATAAGATTAAGAATAATTTATTAAAAGCAGAGTTTACAGACTTGACTGGTTTTGAAATCGAGTTTTTATTAACAAAAACCCATTCTTGGTGATATTGTGAACACACAACATTGACAGTGTACAACATAAAAATATACAATGACTGCATAAGTAAAAAATTACATGACTATTTATGAACTAGTATAAAAACAGTATAAAAATCTTGAAAATTGTACTGAATTGATTGTATAAAATGCGCGCTTTCAATCACTAAAAGTGTTTTGCAAAATTAGGCTCAGTTTACGTTGATTAAGTTAGTGTCTTGCAAAATTAAGCTCAGTTTATAATGATGAAGTTAATGAGTTCTACACTTCAGATTAATCAGATAGACAATTCAGTTTGAAAAAACTATTGAAAGTTGCAATAAAACTTCATAAGGTTAGAACAAGTTCTATACTGCTTGTTTTGGAAATGTAGCAATCCAAAGTAAGCTTTCAACTTTTAAATTGTGGTGTTGAATATGCTAAATTATTATTAAGGCATCTTATATACAGTATTGCAAAAAGGAAAGATTGAATCAAATTAATTTAAAAAAAAAAAAGGAGAATAGTCAAGAAAAGAAGAAAGAAACAAAAAACAAACAAATATTGAAAACCAAATTAAAACAAATAACCAAGAGAAAGAAAAAAGAGAAAAGAAACAAGAAAACTAAAAACCAAAGTAAAAAAAAACATTCAAAAATAGAAAATAGTTAAAAAGAACTGAAATAAAATTAAAAAATTGCTCTGTTTTTGGGCATATTTTAGCATAGAGAGTATTATTCATGATCTTTGTAATATCACAATAGATATTTGGTGTTTCAGTTAATTATATCCAATTATACTAGTCAATGCTAGTTACCCGGATTTGCACTTTTCCAGGCGATATATTGTTGTGTAATTTTGTGTACCGTTTATGTTGTTATGTGCATTGTTCATGTTGTAATGTAATTGATTTTTTTTTCATTTGTTTAATGTTGGTTGGACATTTTTGAAGTGGTATATATTTTTAAAATTGTATATATATATATGTGTGTGTGTGTGTGTGTGTGTGTGTGTGTGTGTGTGTGTGTATGTGTGTGTGAACAAATACATTTTTATGTGAGTGTATGTAGTGGCTATATTTATTTCTGTATGCATATGTATGTACAGTTGATTCTCGATACCTCGACAACTTGATATTTTGAACTTTGGTGTATCTTGAACTTTATTTCCTGTCCCTGGCAGGTCTGGTCTGTTTGGGCCAAAATCCTCTCAATATCTCAAACTTTTTTCCCAGTCTGAGATATCGAGGGTCAACTGAATGCATATGTGTGTGTATGTATATCTATTTTATTTTTGTTATATTTTTTGTCAGTCTTTTTTTTTTTAATAGTATTACTTCTTTTAATGATAAATATATTTTTTCTTAATTTTAATCTTTTTTGTTATTATTATTTCTATTAAAATTATTGTTATCATTGGTATTATTATTTTTAATTTTATTATTATATATTTGTTTTATATTATTGTTAGTTGTTACGTCTTATTATTTTTTTTAACTGTTTGTAACTGTTTAACTTTATATATATAGCTTTTCTGTTTATAAAAGCAAGTAACTTGTATTATTATTGTTATCAATGTTTTTTTTTTGTTGTTGTTGTTATTAGTATTGTGATTTTTATGTTTATTAATACCATTATTTTTATTGTTATTAATACCATTGTCATTATTGTTATTATTAACATTATTATTATTACTAACATAATGATTTTCAGAATTTTTATTATTTATTATTAACCTCATTATTATTAGGTGTTTACGCATCATTTTTTATTATAGCATACTTTATTATTACATAGCATCATTATTAGTATACTATTTGTAAACAACCTTGAAATGTAAGATCACATAATTCATAATATATATTGATATTCCTGATACTCATTATATTATAGAGATATATTTCAATAATAATAAAACATCAAATACACAATACAGTTAGTAAAAGTAAAGATAGAAATATCTTGTTATTCACAAAATAAAAAAAATAAAAAGCAAGAAACAGCTAAAGTCCCAGCTAAACAAACACAATTTGCAGGGGTTACTAGCCGGGGCTAACAAAAATAAATTAAACTATTTTCTAGTATTTATCAATTTCTTTACATTTAAATACTTGAATAGCTCAACTATGTAATTCTAATGATTAAAATTACAATTAAAAAGTTACTTATATTTTAAATGTAAATGCAATTTTACAATAAATTTATCTTATGAAATTTATTTTAGGATATTTTAAACACCCTGATTGTTAGCAATTTTGAAATATTTCTTCAAATTATTAACTTTGTTTAAAAATTTCAAATAATCAATTCATTACATGATGGCCACTGACTTTTCTAGAATATCCAGGTTGCTGGCTTGTTTGTTCTTTCATCCAGAAAGAACAAAGTAGATCAGATGGATATATGGTGTCTTTAAAAGATAGGAAAAAAAGCAATCATCTTAGAGATAGTATGAGAGTAGTAATTATAATTATAGTGTGTATCAGAGAAGATGATAATGATGCCAATGATTAAGATGATGTCATCATCATCAGATGCCAATGATTAAGATGATGCCAATGATTAAGATGATGTCATCATCATCAGAATCATCTTAATCATCATCATCAACTGTATGCTTGATGATAATGATGATGATGATGATGATGATGATGATGATGATGATGTAGATGATGATGATGATGATGATGATGATGATGATGATAATGATGATGATGATAATGATGATGATGATGATGATGATGATGATGATGATGATGATGATGATGATGATGATGATGATGATGATGACGATGAGATGATATATAAACTTTTATATAAAATATAGGAATTTTAAATAACAATAATATATTTATAAGGAATATCAATATTAATGCAGTCCCAGTCACAAACCCGGCCCCGGCTATGTTTTATCAAACCCGGCCCCGGTCAAATATCAACCCCGGTCGCTTACTAAATACAATAATATAAAATATATTATAATACTTGATAAACAATATCTAAATTAAAAAGTTGTCAAAATTAAACAAAAAATATATCTGACCAAAAGTTTGTCAGTACTCATTATTATTGAGGATTTATTGGTATAACAACTGAGTTTAAACAAATTTTAATTATAACAGAAAAAATGGTTTGTTTATATACAAAGCAGTCAGAACTAACTAAAAGCATAGACTTTTTGAGGGGGAAAAAAAACATGTGATCAAGAATTATTAAGAATTATTGAAAACTATGATTTGAAAATTAAACAACTTCAAAGTTATTTGTTCGCTAAGGACATTGCTACTAAGCATAAAGGAATGCTAAATACTAAGCATAAAGCATTACAATAAAACAGAAGAACAATCCTAAAAATGATTAAAATATAAAACAATTATTTAAAATAAATGAATAAAAAGCTATATATAAAATGTATTAGCTTTTTCTATTTTGCAAAGAGTTTTTTCCTTCCATATTTGTGGATTTTTAAAACTATTGAGTATTAATGCTTGTTTGAAAATCATGTTTGCTTTTACTATCTTTTACCATACGAGCATCTAGTATTTCCATTATTAAGAAAAGTTTTTCATTATCACAGTTATCTTAACAATGTCCAACATTCTTTTGAGCAAAATATTTCTCTATTAGGACTTGACAAAATGTACTTAGAAGTAACCTAACCTATCAAAAATTTTATAAATTTTACTAAATTACGTGTCATTGTTAAGCTTTTATATGTATGATGCAATCGTAACAATCAGAAACTCTTTTGGCCTACATATTTTTTAAGGAAAGGTGATAAAATCAAGACCAATTGTGTAACAATATTACATTTTTTATACTTAAATTTTTAACCATTTAAAATGTTTTTAATCTCAACTCAATATTCATGATAAAATACTTATTCTATTATCATTGTATATACAACTTTAAATGATCATTAAAATAAATTAAAAATCTTAATGGTAAAATTCAAATTGTTTTATAATAATCAGATACCAATCTGATTGCTCCAAAATAGTGAGATCATTATTTTTTAAATGCATCACCAAAACTTTTTTTTATAACATAATTTATATTGACATGTTTGATAATATTGACATAATGGTAACTAAATTCTCTTTTGGTCATTTTCTTTTATCAAGCTGAAGAAGACACAACCTTGTTATTGATCATATAAAGTTCTTTTTACCAATTTTAACTTTCAGAATTCTGACATGTCTTACCTTCAAATAATTCTGTAATTCTACAAAAGAGCCAAAATATTTGATTTTTGATATATCCCTTTAGATATCTCAAAAAGTTTTGAGATATTTGAAGGGCCAAAAATTTGAATTTTTGATATATCCCTTAGGATATCTTAAAAATTAAGTACTAATTCTTTATCAGTTGAACTTTACTAGTTGATAAAGTTCACCTTAAAAATTTAATTTATGTCAAACAACTGATTTGTATCTGAATAACACAAAATATGTGAATAA